ATATTGTGTCCCCGAGATATCATTTATATCTTTCTCTTTCCTGTATTGTGCTTTGTTAGAACATTACGAGTATCTGACTAGAAACGCGATAATAGCTCATAACTGAAAGCACGTAGGCTACGGACACAAGTTTATGTTTATGTGGTGTTTACAGTTTGTAGTTTTCGATGTTTGACCGAGATTCATCTTCGATTTTTTTAGGATTAGGTTAGGTTACATTACTGTAAGAAAGGATGTATTTCATGGATTTAATAGGCCATGAACGGATGTCAAATGAATAAAGAAGGCCGACCTGTTTATCTTTTTAGACATTCGGTGCTATAATTTCCTCATGTCTATACCGTGTCTGGTTCGTAAGTTCGTAGTTGTTAACTAAATTGCACTTTATACATATACCGTAGTTATAACATACTGGTATTAGCGTAAATGCGGTGTCACGCAATTTCTCATATTTATATAGCGGTGGCGACGGAAGTATTCTACGGACCTAGAAATCGGAAATGTTCGCCACTGGAAAAATCCGTAATTATTTAGGTCCTCGACGGTTCCTTGGTGTCATATGAGGCTGATATTTAGCTCCTGTAAATAAGTTAGGACGTACGACGCTTATTCACTTATCATTATACCAGTCGTAAAAGCTGTCGGTCCGTTGAGGTAGCCGCTCATAACTGTATGGAGACCACGTTCCGATACAATGTTTAATTTAGCTTAAACATTAGAAGATTTGATGTGAATTATGAAGTAGACGTTTAGCTACTAGGGCCAGGCCTATGGGCCAAACCTGCAGCCATTTGTTAGCACTTTTCCAATCATATCCGATAATGTGTTGTTTGGTTTCGTTAAAGTCCGCCCTGTCCTGCTCAATGGCCGCCGTTGAAAATTTAGCTATTAATGTAGCTCAAGACAGCTGTCTCCCAGCCCCGTGATTGTTTAGTGGGCAAAAGTTTGCCTATCTACCAAATCTTGAAGACACGTTTAGCATCTGCCATATCATAAGAACACGTTGCGGTCTAGGACTAAAACAGACGTAAAACTTGAGAAATAAAGAAACGGCTGGATTCTAACATGAAACGAACGGTCTTTGTGCGCGGTTTCGAGATCAGGACACCACTGTACCTAAATTTACTGGGCGAATCCGCCATTATTGGGGACTTGGAAAATAATCCATCCAAACTGAACTGATACTTTACGTTGATGAACACTACAGACTATTATTTCGTTAAAGCAGTTTTCAAATGATCATATCATCGTTGAAACTCGTTGATTTGCCGTTACTCTGTAGCTATTTCGAGTTTTTTTTTCTTCGAAATTTCTAATCCTCCCCCTGCGCCCTCTAATTGGAAAGCAGATAGTGCCTTGTTCGCCATCGTTCGATACCTAATTCCGCTAAGCGCGCCTCCTTGACAATGTAATGGTAAGCTCGTTTCGTGACCCATGTCATCGATAGACCGCTGATGCAAGGCGCTTAACAAACAGACCCGGTGAGCAAATCGAGACGTTTTCTCCATAGCGGACTTTTTATTCCCAACGGATCAGTTCGTTTTGCTCTAGAAATCCAGGAGAATCACGTTCGCAGACTCGTCCCCGCTATCGATAGTCGTTTGGAAAGTAAGTAGCATGTAGTAATAGTTGTTCTCGCAGCGATTGCTCTAGCGGTGCCAGCAGTACCTCGTAATCCCGAAAGGACACCTCGTAGAATTGACGCGGCTGCGGTCTGATGCCAGTGTCCTTAGTCCCACGACTCAACAACCGCTATGAGAGCAATGGACAATGAGACAGAAACAGACCCTGCGAGCAACCGATGAGCCTAGACTAAGCCATCGAACAGTTGTACTGGTTAGATTACTCGATCGATGCGCTCGGGCCAAGGACTTATCATAAAGTGATAATGATTGAACGTGGCTTCGGATAGGAACCATTATTATACCAATTGTCGTGTGTGGGTATACGACGAAGCCATCCGATGATGTCGGAGCCCAGCGTTTAAGACGATTTGATTTAATGTTAATGATTCGATTCTATTGTTAAAGGTTGGGTGTTACTTGACAGTATCCCAGCCCAACTGAGGATGTATATATACACACATATCTAAAAAAAAACTAAATACGGCATATACTAGAACCGGTCCTAAACCTATCTTTAAAATGCGCAAATAAGAAGAACTATAAAATGACTTTACTTGAAGACATGTTTCTGTCTTTTGACTGCACTTTATAGCTTGTTTCATTGTATCCTTTCGAAATTTTTATTCAAAGCGTATTATTATATAGGCTAAGAAGACATAATGGTTTTCTTCAGGTCAAGCCGTTTGAACATACACACCTTTCTTTTTACGCCATCACTATTGTTAATGGTATAAGCGGTCACTTTTAGATTAAATCATTTTGAATTATCTGTTGTGAGACAACTCGCGTAATATAAATAGCAGAATCGTGTGTAGTTCATGAGGATCTTATGGACACATTGTGCTCTAGGTTCGAATCCGTGCATAGACACACTTTGTTCCGTGCTAGGAGCCAGCCGTCTAATGGAATACCCAACGGCCATACCGGGCGTACGACTTCAAATATAGAAAGGCCAATTACCTTCGAGCCAGTTTTGTCGATAATGATTTTGTTGATTTTTTGGGCCGTGTACCTCCCAGATGGCTGCCGTATAGTTCTTTTAGTAATTCTGTTCGTAGAGGTATTGGTAGTACAATCTTATTAACGAATAAAAGGCATTTCGCTCAAATGGATGGTTGAACTTGCTGGTTATATAGCAGGACGATTCGCTACGATCTTTTAGATAACTGGTGATTCTGAAATGTATTATCATTCTCCGTTTCATGATGATTTTTTCTCGGTTCATAGGTACAGAAACCTACTTTTAAAGAAATTTAATCATGATCTTGTACAACCTTAGCTGCAACTTCCTCTTATAGTTCTATGCGGTTTCGTTGATTATATGCTAGATTTCATAGAACATCTGCATTACCGAACTTATAAAATGAATATGTAATTGGAACGCTGTCTATCTCTGGATTCTGTCTGTTGTATAGGTAGACATTTACCAACTGTAGCCCAAAGTAAGTAGGCAGGCAAAAACAAGGGCCTGGACTGCCCTTCAATTTAGGCATTAATTTCGTCGCGATAATAGTATCGATGTGAATATCTTGGGTCGTATTTCCTACTAGTTAACCCGGTAGGGGACCCTGAGACCAAATGAGCTGAGAAGCGTATGCCCTGAGGCCTAATTGTGGCCCTTTACTTAGACGTCTTGACAGTTAAGACATCAGAATTCCTCTCTCGGCTTTTCTACGCAAATAATCCATCACGAAAATAGATAGTGGAAACTAGAACCCATATCTTTCAAATATTTAACTCACCATTAAACTAGATAGCGCCAATCATACTGAGGTTACTGTTTGTCGTTTGTGCGGCAATAGAACGAAACTTTGTGATGACAGAGTATATACGAACAAAACTGGGCTTATATTGTACAAGCCTGTGGTAACGCATTGCATCGTGCTCAATTAGATATGGTAGAATATCGTTTGTCCACCGTAGCTTACCTTGCCATCGTCTTGATTTTCACATCTACCAAATGATTTTTAGTGCTCTTACAATCAACTCGGCGCATTGCAAAGGTCCTAGAGTAAACGCTGAAACTTAGTCATTGTAGTAGTGGAATTTGCTGCCCTCCAGTATTGTCATCCACGGGACATTCTCAAATGGTCTTTTCCTTAAAGTGCCTGTTTCTATATGTGGACGTACTTCGAAACTAGAAGGCAACAGCATGGAGAGACCTTTATTTGATTAGACATAGTAGTAATCAAAATGTAGGTGCGTTTAAAACATCGTCCTCGTTGAAACTAAATTTAAATTATACTATTCAAATTGTAGAGGTTGACGTTAAGGTGCAGTGGCAATGTGTTTGCCCACTACACTTAAGGACACGTTACGTTGTCTACGTTCAAAACCATGCATAGACAGACGTCGTTTCGCTTATTCAGTAATGTCCAATAGCAATATCAGACGTCTAATATGAAACATTAAATTCGATTACCTAAACTAAGGTCAGCTAAATTGAACATTGCGACGTAAGCTGCCGCAATAGCGAAGTAAGGGAAGCCGTGAAAACTCATAGACATAAGATAACAATGTAAGGCCCGAACTGCGGCACGGCACTGTTTCTAAAATCATCCGAGTTTTTACGTATCATGAGCTTGAACAATATTATACTACCTTTATTTTTTTAAATTAATCCCAGTTTTGTCTCTTTGAGCATCAATGGCGGCAGCTATCGGCTTTGGAAAAATAACAATGTTTCACTAGACCATGTAATCAACTTCTTATTATCCATTATATATCAGTAAGAGTATGACCTTGGCAGTATAGCCAATCTAATGGACCACGAACACTTAAAACTCAATACGCAGTGGAGTCTACGTTCGTAAAAAATCGCTCTTTATTCTTTCTTCGTTTTTTTCATTTGTTAATTATCGCAGCTATTGTAATAATAATAATAATCGTCATTATTATTTTACAATATATTAAATACAAAGCAGGAAAGTATTAACACAAATGCCGCAATCCGAAGTTACAGATCTATTTAATGATCTGAAGAGAACTCATAACGACTGCTTGTCTACGACAATCGGTGGTGAACTGCAACGCTTCAATTTTGTATGTGACCGTATGCCTTCTCAGACGTCTTTGTACCGTCTATCGTGGTCCTCGTTGATTAGAACGCGGAAATTATCACGAAAAAAATAATTTTCCCTCTTGACAGTCAATCAATATCTCTGCATCGGCTAGCAGTCGTTACGAGCTTTATTGGAAAGACTAAAATATAGATTTCCTTTCGCATTTGCTTCTGTCCTATTTGCTTTCTTCCTCGATCTTTCTTTCCGCTTCTCATTCTGTTCGTGTCAGGTTCTATATAAAGTTATTATCTCTCTCGGCCTCTACTTATTATGTACAAACAGCAGTAAGAGCAGGTGAAAAGTTTTTAAGCTCTTTTTTTGTTTTAGGTAAGTAAAATTCTATTTGAAAAATAAATCAAAGCTCACATATCATGCAATCACTGTATTAGTGGTAGTGTTCAGTCTCTACGGAATAGCAGTAGTTAAGAACATCCTAGGTAGATCAGTTACCAACTGGCGTACTTGGAATTCATGGCAATACTTCGAACTTCGAGCCCCCGACAATGAAAAATAGATAAATGATAATATTTCCGTATTTTGCCGTGTTGGAAAAATTCACCGGTTTACGTTTTCTAACGGATAATTATGACGAAGTCGATTTCAGCTATATGAACCACCGTAAGTCACCATTATATACGATTATTTTCAATCAAATAGTGGAAATTAATCGTATATCCAAAGTTATACCACAACTGCTAACTGGAATTTTTCGTCAAAGTAACTTTTTCTCACTAATTTCGTGTAAATGTTAAAGCTTCTATATTGGCTATGTGTTTTGATAATGGTACTGCGTTTTTTGGCGCATTCTAGCCAGTCTTCGTGTCGATTCCGAGTGTGCAATTGTTTCATAAGTAGGAGAAAATTCGAAGAATTAGTTAGTCGAACTTCCTACGGCGTCGTATTTACTGTTTAATAAAACAAAAAAAAAAACGCAGCGCATAGCAAAACCCTATACAGTTCGAGCTCTTTTCAGCGGTTTAGCGGTGATCGTGGCAGTTGCTGATTCAGCAGAAGGCAGAAGAGCGTTCTAAGGACCGACCAGCTAGACCCGCTCATCGACAGATAGTAATTAGCATAGAGACATCACACAAATTTCGCTCTATAACTTACTTAGTAATAATAATAATAATAACTTTTGGGATTAGAAAGGCTCGAAGCTCTTGTGAAATGAACGTACACGGTAGATTGCTCAGTATGAAATGTCTAACATATAATATGCACAGGATTTTAATAGGCTTGTCCCATTTCATACATGAAACGTCGTATGGTCTATTATGTGAACTGGAAGCGGGTTGTTTTTGGTAAATTTATATTTAGTAGATTGCATTTGTTAAAAAATCGATTTATTTCGGTCTATTTTACTGGCAACATATAATAGTTAAACAATAAAAATCGACTTTGTAGTCGCTATATAAATGGTGAAATCTTCCCAAATTACTCACGGTTAAAGGCATCTTAATAAGTCACTTGGCAACTAGACGGGATACGGAAATGGTTTCCAGCGATTGGGTATGAAAGAAAGCGATTTTGTTGGTCTCCAACATTACTAATGTACTGAGGTTGCACATTTAATCTCTGCTTTCGTATTACCTTGTATAGTTGTGTTGTGTTTGTTTTTCGAGTGTGAATAACTTTAATAAATTCACATAAAGTCGTCTGAGTGACCGGTTTCTACTAGAAACCGAGCATAACAACTGGCCTGAAAATACACGATTTTCAAGCACAAAATAGATTTCGACTCGACCTCGTTTAAACGAAAAAATATGGAAACTCATATGGTTGCAGCATATGACCCGGCTTGGTCCATGTCTGTAAGTCTGGTTGATGGGCGAAAGTTTAGTTCCTTTAGGGCTCAGCCAATGAAGAATACAGTAGAACGGAACGACTGCAAAAACGTAGCAAATGCCTATGTCTAGCACTTGGTTGTGTTTTTACGTCTGCACAAAATACAACAAACCATGCGCTCACCAAACTCTATTACCCATATCATTCCTTAATGCGGTGGGCTAGTAGCTCTCTCTCTCTCTCTCTCTCTCTCTCTCTCTCTCTCTCTCTCTCTCTCTCTCTCTCTCTCTCTATCTATCTATCTATCTGTCTGTCTGTCTGTCTGTCTATCTATCTATCTCTCCCTCGTTATCTCTTATTGATTTGATTAAGCGAATCGTCTTTCCTGCCTTACAACCATTGCTTAGCTGCAATTAAATATCATTTTCTATCATTCTCGTGTATTTTCAGGCTCTGTGGTTTTCACAGTGGTAGAAATCAATCATGGAATAATTTACTATTATTGTTAATAATAAATAATCTTAGCTTAGCCATTGGCTTTCTTCAATTTTTTTTATCATTGTTTGTCATCACCGTCCTTTAATGTCGTGGTCTTGCATGCTGAACGTGTGACGTTTCCATCTCTAGTTTGCACTTATTAGAACGAAAAAGCGATGTTTATATTGGGCAATTCGCGACCTCTGGCAGGCTCTCATGGTCATTGCGACATCGCTTTCTCATTCCTATGGCGTCGTGGAGCGCACAACGTATTTTTTTTATTATTAGTGTTATTATTTTTATTATTATTCTTATTTATCAATATAACCAACCTTTCAGTCATTATGTACAGTTTGTATGACAACATTCGTCTCTGGCTCTGAGGCTGATTTCATGACCTTGATATACACTGACGTTCACCCCCCTTATTCTTGCGATTTACATTGAAGCTTCGCTATCCGGAGGCATTCGCCTACACGAAGCTATTTCGCTGGTTCAAGCGGCAGTTTTTTCTCACATACTGAAATTAAATTATAACTATGGCATTTACCAATATTCCATCCTGAACAACAGTATCATACCATTCTTCTCGTCAATCATCATCACCAGAATCTCTGAGTTAAAGCATTGCACCATGGGCTTGTGTATCTGTCATCGTAGCCATTGTCTTCCTTTAGTTTTTCTTGTTGTGTTCGTCTATAGGCGTCGCTGTAGGCGTCGATGTGTGTTTATGTTATAAATTTGTTTGAATTTGTAGGCTTGTACCTATGTGTGTTATTGTGACTTCACGCTATTTGGCACCTCAATGAGCGAATACTACGCGTTCATAACAATGGGTGATAGATTCGGTATCCCGGCCTAGTGTAGACTTCTTTCCTACGACATATTTAGCGGGATCTTTTCGCATATCTTCCAGAACATAAATAATTAGAGAGTATAGTTGAGGAAAATAAAAAAAAAGGACACCGATCAGGCCTTTTTCGCTGCCTGGGCGGTGGGACGGAATGATGTCTTCAGCGCAGATGGCCAAACAGAAACATAGACTACTCGTAGAACGGCAGATGACGTTGCACTGTTATGGACACACATCGAGCTTCTCCGTAACTTCAAAGAAGTCTCACTTCAATTGGCCCAAATACAGGCGTTCATGGTTGGATGTACTATGAAAAAGAGCTAGATGAAAAGTTAAGCACTAGCCCGTAAAGAAAAGAGAAGCGAATAAAAATATAAAGTGAAACCGATTGTTTTCCTGAGTAGGTTTTACAATGCCTGCTCAATCGCTCTTGAGTCTAGAAATTCAAATTTGCGCGGGATGTGTGACGTTTCAGTTAACGCTCGTGTTTTAGGTCACGTATGGTAATTTCCGCTAAAATGTGTCCCCGGTTAATTGATTAGCGGCACTTTATAAACAGTTCTCTCTTCCCCTTGCTTTAAGATATTCTATACATCAGCGATCTGACCGCAGTGGCTAGTGGAAATTACTGTCCGGATATTGGCTGAACTGAGTAAGCTCTTTTTTCTCCGTTTGTGAAACAGGTTCGTACTCCCCATTACGAAGATGCTGGTTCCGCTTGAAGAAATCCATCTGAAACAGGCAAACAAAATGAAAATAAGCACGTTGAAACAATCGTACTTTGGCCATCTTCCATTCTAAAGTTTAAAAGAATCAGGAAGTCTAGTATGTCCAATGGCTATATCCCTTATACTGGTGTGTTCGGCACTATTCCTTTACGCTATGTATAATGTGTACACATATATGAAAGAGATGTTTCCTCTCCACGTTGCAGTCAGTGTCGAGTGGTTTTGTTTGCTATCTAGTTTTTCCCCTAACGAATAAACGTATATACTACAACAATATAGACCACTTTCACGCTCTCATATATCAATAATTCATGACTCTGTGTATGTACCGAAGCATGGAACAAGATGTGCTTGTAAAGTTTAAAATATTCTGTACCTTATATAGGCAGTAGGCGATGGCGACTAAGATGAGGATACCAATAATAACGCCGAGGGCGATCACCCACCATGGGGCACCCTCGGACCTCTGATAGAGGCTGGAATCCGGATAGGCCTTGGTTTCAGCCTCCGCGTAGTCGTTGGTCGTCTTCTGCCGAATATCAATTTCTGGATCCAAACGAATCTCCGCAAATGAGAAGATGCTGACCTGATCCACCCGGGGATAATCCTGAGAATGAGAAAAGAAATCATAGCATAACGCCATTGTATAATCCGCATGTTGTGTTGTTATTATATTATTTATATTTATTGTTATATTATTTATTTTCCATTACCGCCTTTAACCTCGATCGAGTACTATCATAGTGAAGTTTCATTCCGATAATTTTTTTGTGCACTGTAAAAGGAACAAGAAGTACCTACACACGGATTTCCACTTGTCGATTATTTAAGCTTTATTCTTTATTTTAATAAAATATCGCTTACCTCGACAAACGTAGCATTCCATAACCTTGACTTGATCGTAATTACAGCACTGTTATGTTTTTGCAGATTAGTAACCGTACAGGAGAAATCGACGCAACGAGTATTCTGGTTGCACCTCATCTTCACAACGTTGAGCACGCGGCCGTCGACGCGAACGCTTTCTGCTGGCACAATCATATCTCGCCGAACTCTTGTGTTACGTCCATATGACGAGACGTACGTGTAGTTCCGTTCGGTGATTACTTTTCGAGCGTAAATCGTCCTAGAGATTGATTATGTATGAAAAGATGACGTTATGTTATAAAATTAATTAAATTTTTAACTGATACATTTCTACAATGTGATTACGGGACGTTTCTATTGTTCGCTGATTGCCATTTGACCTAGACTGATTCCGTCGTCGGCACGAACGTGATTTGAATCGGCCTAGCCGACATAACTCACAACGTCGTTTGATTCTGTGCGTTGGTTGTCACCTAAAGTTTTTTAAAAAATATACAATGAATACTTGTCCTTTTTGTGGAAAAAGTAAGATCTTTCTTCCTGAAGCTTCACCGAGACCAAAACGAGGAAAAATACTGTTTTTGAAATTTATGTATAAGAATATTCATGGCACTTTGATTTAGATCACTGGGAGCTTTCGATTGGCGCCAACAATCCCCCTCCTTTTCAGGTAAGTATTCCTTGTTCCAGTATCACACTTGCGAAAACGTCTAGTTTTGCTTGCCTTTTTGTTGCGCCAAAATATTTATCTATAAAAATGTATTGCATTTTACTTAGTTCCTTAGGATTTATCGAATTATATTAATTGGCGCCAAGGGTTAAATAACTCATATAGAAAATTTCCCGTTTGACATTTCGAAAAAAAACTTTTACCTAAAAATCTATGTCACACCAGCTGCTACAACTTTTCATAGACATTTATCAAAAGCTCACTAGCAAAAGCACTCAAAAGTAGCTCGAAACGCGCTGTTACACGCATACAGATGCATATTGAATATCTTTTGTTCTTTGCGGTAAACCAAGTTTAGGTATAGGGGCACCTTTACTCCGTTCGTCGAGATCTATAAACTGCTAGAAAAAAAACTTTTTATATAGAACGCCACGCCAGATGTTTCCCTTTGAGAAGCGTTTTCTACTTAAAAACAAAAATGTATGTATATGAAAATGCATGGCATTTTGATTCGGCTCGATGAATGCTATCGATGAGTACCGAAAAGACAGCTTGTTTACATAGCTTTCTACATGCAATTTTTCGCTGACATTTTGACAGAAAAAAAAATGCTAACCCAACAAAATGTAAGCTACATCAACTTCTACAACTTTTCAGAGTTCGGAACAAAAACCTTCGAAAATAAAAAATGCGTGCCATTTCCGGACAGATTTTTCGATCACCAGTGTGTACAAATCGTATTATAATTCGACAAGCCTACTGCTCTTTTATGCAAGTAGATTTTTTTCAATGTGTTTCGAAAGTCCTCCATAGCGTTGCCCATGTAGCACCTCATCGTAACTCAAACAAGATAGAAAATTCCTCGTAAAATTTATATGCCATTACAAGACATTTCAAAATACAATATCTAGCAGACGTGCATGTTATGCATGAACATTTCGCTACGTACTTGTTAGGGTCAGGTCATCAATTAGATAAGGAATATTTACTTTGGCGTTGTTGTCGTAGTTGGCCTGGCTTCCCCATAATCAGCATCATAATCATAATCGTCCTCAGTGGTCGGTTTTGGGGTGGTTGTCGTTGTGGTTCGACGAATGACTGGATCAGTGGACTTTTTTTGAGGTATACGAAGGGTGCTGGGTCGCGAACGTGATGCGGCTGCGGTAGGCGCTTCCGTAGCCACGATGGCTTGCTTATTCTATTGCACAGAAATGAACATGTTAGATTGAGTATTTTAGTAAACTGAAATTACCATTGTTTATATGATATTATATCATGTTCTGTCAATTCAAATTAAATGTCACTGCCCGGTATCTAGGTCCGGTTGTATGCAAACGACTTTAGCTCAAGCCGAATAAATGCTACTGGTGCAGATTTGTTATGAATGCGATAACATTTATACTTACGGTAAAGCCGAGAGGGTCGACTGAGTTATCTTTCACAGCCCGACACGAGGTGAGAACACCGTTAACTTGCACCTTTGGCAGTTCAGTGAGATAAAGTAGGTACTTCCCGTTTTTACGACTGTTTTCTACCTCCATCGGCCAGCGTATATGTACTTTGAAGTTTGGCACCATGTACGGCCCGTAATTGAATACCGAATACACGTGGGTAACCTCACTACCAATTTCAGCCTCGCTTTGCATGGCCGAAGCACCTACGACCCTTCCGCCATACCAAACCTGTTCAGGTTTTGCAAGACCCTTGATTTCCAGCTCGGCTGCCCTAACTACGCTGACGTCAAACGTAGTTGGTCTCTGGTTTAGGGTGTCCTGTGACGATGTCGTAGTGTGAACGACAAACCGCATAGTGGTCAGGTCGTCTGCCTCCCGTTCAGGTCGGAACTTCAGCAGGAGTTCGGCCAAATCACCGTTTTCCATTGGGTTACCCAAGTCACAACGAACCAGAGTTTGATTTTCAGTCGAACAGTCAAGCACACTTTTCTTGTTGAGTACCGAACGTCCAATAAAGGTCATCTCGCTAGGATGTTCGATGTGTAGAAAAGCGTCGTAGGCAGATTCTCCTGTATTTCTAACTGATACGGTCAAGTTCATAGTTTCCCAGCCAAGATAATAGACCGGTTCACCCTTTTCGTTCGGGAGATTAAGTTTAGACTCGGTGTACAACGTGGACTCACATACTGCATTATCGCCGCAGTTTTTCTTGAAATCGACTGGAATCGTAAGTGTTCCAAGTTTTTTGTTAAGTATAGGGTACTGGTCAATGCGGGGTACATGCAGTCTGTCATTTCGATCGAGATCGTTGTCTAGGTCGAGAGTCAATTTGAGTTTAATCGTCGTGTGGATATCCGAACGATCGACCAGAATAAGCTCACCCGTCGTACACTTGCTATAGTCGGTCATCTGGAAGCTTTCAACCAATATATGTGGCGTCTCCGTGTTCTTTGCCTTCTTGAAAATAACTCGGGACTTTTTCTTGTTCGGCTGGAAGGTTTCGGCTTCGATTCTCTGCACAACGATCAAATCGCCGGTACGATGGTCAAAATCAGATGGCGTCGTCAAACAGACCTGAAAGGTCGTGCATACCTCCTTGCCTGACAGACATTTTTCAGTTGTCGGATCAATGGGCAAACTGTACCTGAGTTCAGCTTTGATGTTCTTAATAGGCCGGGCATAAATGGCAAACGCTCGATCGGAACTGTAGGCGCCGACAACGAGGTCAGGGTATTTGTTATTGTCTAAGTCAACACCGCCTGATAGCGAATAACCGAATGTGCTTGGGACAGTGCGAGTACGCTTTACATCGGAAGCACGAATAATCTGTGAAGGCCTTTCACTTAGGCCGTTTTTTGAGCCAAGGTAGATGTACACGGCACCATCACCTTCGTAGGGAGCGCCGATAGCGAGATCTACAAGGACAATACGGAAAATTAGAAATAGCCGAAAAGACGTTAGATAATCATGTCAGGAGCGAGAATCTTCGATATGTCTAAAATATAATTCATCATATTGCATAGAGAATAATGCACACTATAAAAAGAGACTGAATTGGCTAATCCTATATCCATACCGTTAAATCCATCACGATCAATGTCACCGAGTCCAGTAATAGCGAACCCAAAGCGTGATTCCTCCTTTGAGCCAATCACTTTGCGGTACTGCATTCCTTGGTATAAATAGCGAGGAGCACCTTCGTTGAGGTAGACATGGACGGCGCCGCCTACACCGTCCTCATAGTAGAATGGGGCTCCGACGACCAGATCATCGAGACCATCGGAATTGATGTCTACAACAGCGATCACATACCCAAAGGAGGATGCTACTTGTTCACCTGTTTTATTTGAAGGAAAATAAGATTCAATTTCATTGAAAAAGAATGACGTGCAAAGGCTTGAATAAATCTATTAAACCAATCAGCATAATGTTGCAAAAGGTCTACCAGATGTTGAATTCCCCTGTGCCTAGCTTAGCTGACGGATATATCCGTGCAAACGTACCTTCCCCAATAAAATAAACACCTGTAAGTTATATGGCAACATTTAACGATTTTCTTATACAATCGTAACAGCAATGGCTTGAATTAATGCTAAGTAACATATAAAAATTACATTTTAATTGAAGATGTCATAAAACTTGCATAATGACAAGTAAGGTTACAAATATATTCGATTACCAATGAGCGTCCTGTTGTGCTCGAGCTCGTTGTTGTTCGGGGCGCGATTTCTTTCGAAGAGTAGTACGGCCCCCGTGTCGTTCGCGCGAGGCGCGCCAGCTGCCCATCCCAAGCGCTGTTTGTCAAAAAAATTTCCTGACGCCACCGACATGCCTAAATACGCATAGTTTTCAACCGGGTAACTCGAATCTGTATTCGTTCGAAGCCACTCTCGTATGTACTTGTCCCGCTTCATGAAGGAAGACACACCTCCGCGCCAGGTTTTCGTTCCGGGCATGCCTATCGTCTGAACATCGTACTTGCTGTTTAGGTGACAGCTGGTGCCGGCCTGGCACAAACCAAATCCAAGATGGTAGTCCTTGACTGGTTGGCCATCGCAGGGGACCCAAGCGGCTTCCGGCACCAGTGAAGTGCTGTACTGGAAACAGATACCGAAGCCAAGCCGCTGTTCCTCGTGAACGTTGTTCTCGTTAATAATCGTCGTAGGTTTGACGTACCGATGGGCACATGCCTGAATATAAAAACAATAAAACGGCACGAACGACATAAGCGTTGCGGTGCATACGACGTTGACGGGTATCGATCCATCCGATGTTTAACCAATCGACTACTAAATTAATAGATCTATATATATTTTTTTAATATTTTCTATAGGTTTCGAATCGAAGCGGCAAATACGGCTTATTAAATATGCCCGCTCGAAACAAAATGTTCTTGAATTTTATGTACACCTGCGGGCCAGCGATTATAGAATATCGAAAGTTTGCACACTGGGTTTTCTTAAATCACCTCGTTTCTGCTAGTAAGCTATGCGTTCATAAACAATTTACAAATTGCGCGGTCCGACATGTCAAAAGGAAACAAATTAAGTGAAATTGCTTTTTCACAAAGTACTGGTTCTCTTTGTGGCAATTTGAACCTAAAATTATTTCGCTTACCATAAGTCCGTTTTGCTGGCCTGATGAAACGGATACGCCGAACCACATATCGGTCATGTTCCCTTGGCCCTGTTCTTCGAAACTGTCGAAAAACGGAAGCTTCTGACAACTGCTTTGCGACATCAGACGCGGCTGGCTGAAAATATCGCACGCCATGACGGCGCCACTTCGGTCCTGTTTCGGAGCTCCGACAATAATCCTGTTGAGATTGAAGCAACAGAGATGTAGCATGAGAGATCTACTTAGAAACCAGGCTGTGTCATGCACCATACTACTCTTATGTAATTACAACCAACATAGGCTAGCGAAGGGGCTTAGTCTAAGATACAAAAAGCGCTCTGTTAAAACAGATACTATCCAAGCTGTAGACCAGCTTTTCCAAACAATATTCTTGGGTCTTGCCAATAAGCCATTCGTCCTCGACCCTCTTTTGCAAGCAAAATATAGACTTTTCTTCGAGATAAATACTTATCTAGTTTAGTTAACATTCTATTTGAATAGATAAACTGCAGTGATTATACCCAACTGAGCAACTGACGTCACCATCAGTAAAACGATTCTGCACAAACCGTTCATAAGCGCTTGAAGTTCCAAGTAGACTTCTCCAATGGGAACAACACGTTTTAATCTAGATTCTGATAACGCAGTGGGATATCTACGAGACGCATCCTGAAGTGGCCCGGCCACATCTGGTAGCCAATGGTCGATCGAGAAGCGATACGAATTTTACTCACTTAGCCTAATACCCAGGTTCAGGGCCCGATTCTCACGGCGTTACTATTAGCTTTAGATTCGTCAAGTGGGTCGTTAACGACTTTTCGAGGTAATCCCAGGCGACTTGAGCCTTCCGGCGCCGCAGGACGTTTCACTTACCTTCGCACCCGCAATGAATTTCAAGCAGGGTTACAACTGGTGGGTCACAGGACATTTACGCTTACTCAGCAGTGGGGAAGCGGTTTTGTGTCGCAGGTTTATCGTTTTTGTCGTGGGACAAATTTCTGAACCGTGAATATACACGCTTCACTGTGGTGTAACAGTGACTGTTGTAGAACTTCACTAATGGGAAAGAGCAAGAATCAACGGTTGTAAAAGTTCGTTGAGTTTAGTTTAAGATTTCCATTCTCACTGGACGCTAGCGGAAGGCTTCGATGGCGCCTTACGGCATTGCCCCTTGACGCCCTCGCTCTCTAAACAGGCCTATCTACCCGTACTGGAACAGGCCATTTCCAGAGAAGGTCCGCTTATTCGACTCGACGATCATTCGCAAGCGAACACAAATTGGGTAAAATACGGAAAGAGTATACGCCTTCGCAAAGATGGAAGGGCGCTCGTGAATGGAAGAGCTGGAAATTCACACAAACGTGCGACTACATAAGTTTTCGCTTTCTTTGAAGCCTAGGATTTGCTTCAACGAGATCTAGCAGGTGTTTGTTACATGAATGGTTATTTCGATGCTGCTATTATACTGAGTTTATGGATCCACAGACACACACCCAAAATAAATGAATCTACGTCTATATCGTTTTGAACTCTACTTGTTTATGTTATCTTCTGGCCCTATTTAAGCCACGTAGTCGATACATTGACATTTGAGGAACACAATGAAGAAATCAGCAAAGCATCCGACATTTTGTCGGAATATGACAGTCAGATCGATGAATATTGGCAAGACTCTGTATCCGTATTACATTAAATTATCGACGACCCAAAAGCCTATGATTACATCCATTCTGTCTTCTTTTTATCATGATGATGCGTTGTTTATCGGATCCGCGATAGGTTTTCCTCGTTTCGTTTACACACTTCGCTGCTTGAATCTTATTTGAACTCTAACGCAAAACATCGAGCAGGGATGAATTTTAGACTGTTTTAACTTCACAAGTCGATAGTCAGTTTTATTGTTGATGGCGACATTTTCCATCGTGTCATATAATGGTACGGAAACAATGAGCGATCTATCTGTCCGCTTGTTGCTGTTGTCCAGACGCAGTGTTTCATTGAACGACTTAGCACTGTTGGTAACCAGCGCGAACCATATTGATTTTTAAGAGGAGTCTATCAGACCGGCCGAGGGGCGCAGCTTCATCCAAACGTCTGTCAAAAACATTTAGCTGAATCACTTCTCTTTCTTTTTCATTGGTTTTTCTCATAGTTGCAAGGTCCCCATCAGCTCTACCCGTTAGAGCTACAGAACGCCACTGAATATTAAAACTGCTTGCATTCTCAGTTCTAACAACGTCTAACTGAGACAAGCTGTAAACCGTATTGGTGTTATATCGTTCTTTAATGGTAGTACTCGTATATAGGTCTTTCTATGTCGATTTCTAATTAATTTATTTGTAATTAATTTCTCCTTTGAGAGGATTGTGTGGTTGAACATCAAAACACGCCTCAATTTGCTTAAAAACGAGGATAACTTACAGAAGCTATAGTCTTTTGTAATATTTCACTTTGATTGATCGATACTGTTATCGTCAATATCTAGGTCATTATAAGAAAAAGGCGTCTCGATTGACTTATTGGCACCCTTTTGATGACAGACTTGCCAAAGCGGTAGCTCTTTAGCGTCATATGCGTACATTGGTCCTTTTGCACCGGTGTGTCATGTGGTGATTTATTGTTGGCTGTAGATTTCTGTTTCAACAGTGCTGCCTTTCACAAATCAAATTCGATTTCAAAGCTCCGGCAACAGTTTAAATCTTAATTCTGAAGGAACAACACGGGCAGATAGATGAGTTTTTGCTAACGCCTTAATGCACTCCGGTGTTCCTTCACGAGCTACCGTAGCTGAGCGCTGGCGCCCCAGCGTTGCAGCGATGAGAGGCCTTAATTCAACAAAACGTGTGCTTTAATTCAACAAAATGATAGTCGGTACGTAATGCTAGCGATTCAAGGCAAAACCAATGAAAAAAAAAACAGAGAAAAGGCGCGAAAATTTGAACACATCAATAGCCATGATCGATCGTAGGAAGACGCTGCACGAATGAAGTAGGCTGGACAATAAGATCCCGAAATCAAAGGATGTTATATGGCAAAAAAAAAAACACGAAACAGAAGAAAGGTGCGCTAGCAAGAAGGAACTTAACGAGTATATGTAGGTGAACGGGGAACGTGGAGGGTTAAAAAGTTGAAAGTCAACGTTAAAAATTAGAAAGGGGCGAAAAAAAGTTTTACAATTTAGTCTCTTCGTTTGTCTGCTAACAAGTGTGCCAAAGCAATTGCAGTGTCAAGCATTGGTTACAACTGTTATGCTCGATTATTTGTAACAACAACAACAACAACAAAAAATACGCCTTGGCATGAGGGTATCACGTTGGTGACGGTAAACAGTAAAATGGCAGTTCTGTCGTAGTGTGCCATCATAGTTTACATCGTGGAATTAAATGACGTTTCTTTCGGCTGCTTCGCGCCTTCCATGAGTGTACATTAGCGCTGTAAGCAGTAAACAACGCATATGTATATGGTGCGGCGGTCGTCACCAATCTCTGTCGGTGTCCTCGGGTTCCACAAGACATCATCGAGAGTTCCTTCTCAGTTGTTCTAGCGTCTGTGTTTGGTGCTCGCGCAATACAAACACACATGACAACTGGTGCTGCTATGAAACGAGCAGCGCCGTCTTATTCCCATTATAAACGGCGAAGCTTTCACGCGCTCCTCTAAGGAAGTGTTTACTTTTTGACCAGATTTCTCAATATGGTCGAAAATGAGCACGACTAAAAGCACGACAAGATTGTCGCTTGTGATACCGCCATTACTGCAGACTTCAACAACAGCAGCAGCAGCAGCTATAATAGCAGCTATAACAGCGGCAACCGCGGCCGTTTTTCGACTGCACAAATATTATAAGCGGTGCATGTCGGTCTGTTGATTAAAAGCAAGGCCGCCTGCCAGCCACACCTAGGATTAAACAAGGCTAGCTATGGCCAGGGTTTTCTTTGTCCACGTAACAGCAACAACAAACAAATATCGAGAAAAAAGAGTGTCCATGGCTTCGGCTACTGTGGCCTATCAGCCGGCCCGGGTGAGGATCTGGTCTCCTTGCGGGATGGCGTATTTTGGGAAGCTCCTACAGCGGCGCCTGACAATGGTGGGCAGTGTTTAACGGCTGTTGTTGTTGTTGTTATTGATGTTCAGCGTTTATTTGGGGCGACGAGATTTGCCGAGAGGAGACCAAATGTGCTGCTATGACCTCCTAGGCGGTCGCGACAGGCCCGCCCATGGGGGTGGAGTTGACAATAGCAGTCTATAGACGCAGAAGTTTTGTAAAGAATCAAGGCTCGACCATGACGAACTTAAACAAGCGAAAGATACGGACGACAGCAGGCAGAACTACAATACAATACAAGCTTCGACCCAGCGAAATACCAATTTCCTACTTTCTTAAGGGTATGCCAACATACGGCCTGTGTTTCCTTCCTAATCTTGCGGCCGCTGTTGTTAGTGAAGCATTTCGGATTTATTGTGCTTCCAGTCGTAAATAAATATTGGCCATGAGTGAATGCAGCTTGCGAGGGAACAGCGTTGGACACTATTACTCTAACCCATATCACATGAGGGATACGGGTTAGAGAAATAGCTGGGTGCATAACATGCATTTGTATTTTTGCGTTAACCTATCTGGGCAGGAAGATGACATTTTGGGAGCACGGATAAGGTGAACCTGATAAGTCAGCAGGGTCCACTCAGATAAGTAGGGTGGCAACAACCCCTCTCACGCTGTGACACAAAGCGCTCCACAGAAATAACAGCTGATATCACAAACTAAGACTATCCACAAGGCGTCAATCATTTCCCGTCAAGTGTAACGCAAGGAAATCTACAGAAACTAAACATATCCCGCCTATGTCTGAATGAGCATATTTCCATATTACCTGTTCTGGGATATCATAAAAAACATTCGACGTTTCGTCAGTGACGCATGTTCAATACTGTAAAAGCTACACGCTGATGCAGTGTTGCCAAAAAATCTCGACAGAATTAACAACTTTGTGGAGCATAACTAAATACCTATTCAGTGACAGCTTTCAATGGGATCTTTCCTCCTCGAAAACAAACAAAATTGTTCGAAGTTGATGGCGCGAAAACTAAGCTAATTCTATGGCAGATCGCAATTTAATGGAGACTCTGTGCTCCATTAGGTCAACACTTAGTGCGCTATCTGTTCACAGTTCGCCGGCTCTGACCTCCGACTGCCATTTC